GTGATGGTTAAGTGCCGTGGAGTCGATTCCAACTCCACGGCACATAACCACCACCAAACGTTGTAAAAGATGTAAACAATGAAACTAAACCAGGCTCATGTTCTCGTTGTGGTTAAGTGCCTTTGAGCCCCTTCGGACTCATAGGGACTCTGTATAGGGTTTCTGAGGAGCGACTGGTGGGTTTGAACTGCTGACCTTGCCCAACACCTAACTGCCAGAACCTTTAGCTACAGAAAACAGGGCCTATGAGCTCTCGCTACTGGCCGTGGAAACAGCAATGGGAAGTGTTGTTAGGTCTCATCAAGTCAGTTCTTACTCATAGCCATCCTGTACAAGGTTTCTGAGGAGTGACTGGTGGATTTGAACTGTCAGCCTTGCAGTTAGCAGTACAGTGGTTAGCCTACAACGCCACACTAGGACTTCCACAATATGGAATGAAATTGTTAAATGGGAAACTAATTTGCTGTATAAACTTTCACCAAAAATACAATAATGAAAAAAAACCCAAACCCAACTTTGCACAAGTTTATGAAAATAAACAGAAGACCTGGATGAAGTGCATTTCTAGGAAAATATACTTAACCAAAACTAACCACAAGGGAGATAGGAAATCTAAAGAGAGTGACGTTCACGGAAGAAGTAAAGTGGTCAAAGAGCCAAATGTCAGAAAACATCAGACTCGGCTCGTTTAACCGTGGAGCGGTCACAGACTTCTGAAGAATGAGTAATTCAAGTGGGAAATAAAACTGCAGAGGAAAAGAAGCAAAAGTGGAGGGAGTTAAAAAAGTGAATGGAAAAAGTGGAATGGAAAGATAATGGCATCTTTCCACCAATATTTTTAAGTCCCACTGTCTAAACTGAAACCAAAATCTTACAAAGACCTTAAAAATAAATACCAATATTGTTTATGTATATTAGTGCCCAAAGTCTTAATGAAATATTACAAAACGAGATCAAACAGCAAATTGAAAATATCATGTCATAATTTTATTGTCATTATTAAGTGCTGACGAATCAGTTCTGATTCATAACAACCCTGTATAGGGTTTCTGAAGCTGTATGTATTTGTAGGAACAGAAATCCTCATCTCTCTCTCTCTAAGACCCCGGTGGGCTCAAAATGCCCAACGTGTGGTTTGCAGTCCATTGATTGACAGAGCTGCCATACTGCCAATATCATCTTTGTTGTTGTTAGGTTCCATGGAGTCTCTTCTCACTCATAGAGACCTTATAAACAACAGAACACCACACTGCTCAACTCCTTCACATCCTCACAAGCATTGTTAAACTTGAGCCCATTGCTGCTGCCATTGTGCCAATCCATCTTGTTGGGGGGTGGGGGGATGTCTTCTTTTTCACTGGCCTTCCCCTTTACCTACTCCAGGGACTGGTCCCTCCTGACAATATGTCCAAAGTATGAGAGATGGAGTCTCACCTTCCTGGCTTCCAAGGAGCATTCTGGTTGTACTTCTTCCAACACAGATTTGTTTGTTATAGCAGTCCGTGGTACTATTCTTCTTCTTCTCCAACACCATATCTCAAATGCATCAAATCTACAATCTTCCTTATTCACTGACCAACTTTCCCATGCATTTGAGGCTATGGAAAATTCCACGGCTTGGGTTAGATGCACTTTAGTTCTCAAACTGACATCTTTGCTCTTGAACACTTTGAAGAGGTCTTGTGCAGCAGATTTGCCTAATGCAATATGTGGTTTGATTGCTTGACTCCTGTCTCTGTGACTGTTTGTTGATGGTGGGTCCAAGCAAAACGAAGTCTTTGACAACTTCAATTTTTTTCTCCATTTAGCTTGATGTTATTTAATGCTCCCGTGGTGAGGATTTTTGTTTTCTTTATATTGAGATGCAATCAATACAGAAGGCTGTTCTCTTTGATCTTTATCAGTAACTATTTTAAGTCCTCTTCATTTTCAGCAGTTAAGGTTGTATCATCTGCATGTTGCAGGTTGTTAATTAGTCTCCCTTCAATTCTGATGCCATGTTCGTCATATAACCCAGCTTCTCGGATTATCTGCTCAGCATACAAATTGAATTAAGTATGGTGAAAGAATACAACCCTGGTGCACACCTAATTTTAAAGCATTTGGTGTTCCCTTGTTCTGTTCGAACAGCTGCCTCTTGGTCTATGTACAGGGTCTTCATGAGCACAATTAAAAGTGTTCTGGAATACTCATTCTTCGAAATGTTGTCCATAGCTTGCCAAGATCCACACAATTGAAAGCCTTTGCATAGTCAGTAAAGCACAGATAAACATCTTTTTGGTATTGTCTGCTTTCAGCCAAGATCCCTCTGACGTCAACAAAGATAACCCTCATTCCACATCCTTCTCTGAATCCAGCTTGAATCTCTGGTAGTTCCCTATGAATGTACTGCTGCTGCTATCTAAAAATTATCTTTAGCAAAATTTTACTTGTATGTGGATTAATGATATTGTCCAATGATCTGCATTCTGTTGGGTCACCTCTCTTTGGAATTGGCACAAATTTGGATTTCTTCCAGTCAGTTGGCTAGGTAGCTCTTTTCCAAATTTCTTGGCATAGATGAGTGAGCGCCTCCTATGCTGCGTCTGTTTGCTGAAATACTCGTACTCCATCAATTCCTCCAAGGCCTTCAGCGCACCTCGGACTTCTTCCTTCAGTATCACTGGCTCTTGATCACATGCTATTTCTTGAAATGGTTGAACATCGTCCATTTCTTTTTGCTACAGTGACTCTGTGTATTCCTTCTTCTTTTGATACTTTCTTAATCATTCAACATTTTGTCCATAAAATCCTTCAATTATTTCAAGTTGAGGCTTGAATTTTTTTCTTCAGTTCCCTCAGCTTGAGAAATGCTAAGTGTTCTTCCCTTTTGGTTTTCTAACTCCAGGTCTTTGCACATTTCATTATAATATTTAACTTTATCTTCTCTATCTGCCCTTTGAACATTCTGTTCAGCTCGTGTACCTCCTTTCTTCCATTTGCTTTAGCATCTCTTAAGCTGGAGAACAAGTTTCAGAGTCTCTTCTGAACATCCCTTTTGGTCTTTTCCTTCTTCCTTGCCTTCTCAATGGCCTTTTGCCTTCTTTCTGGGGAGGTGAGGCCATAGCTCTTCTCTTGGGGACAAGGCTTCCTTTGATGATGGCTGCACTTCCGCTTACCTGAGCACTTTGGGGTGATTGGCAGGGTGAGAGGACACTGAGTGGCAGGTGTGAGGGCATCTGAGTGTGCTTGGGTTGGTGCCATTGCTGTCCCTATTTGCCCTCTTATTCCCACCATGCTGGGATGATGCCCTGTGATTGTTAACATACCTCCTCACAGGAGGATGACACCAGGGACCCAGGACCCTCCCTTGTCAAGAGTAGGTGTCCCAGAGATCTTTTCCTGCGGAGAGGCACGTCTTGGGTGTGATGTCCTTCCTGTTGAGGTTATCTCTGTGGGTCCTGCTATATCCATCCCAGCTGCCTCTCACTGCATTGTTTCTGAGGTGCATGGACCACATCTTCCCTTCCTTCCTTCTAGGTGGGGAGACACCCCCCCTCAACAAGGCACTTGATTCCAGTTGGGCCTGACCAGACAGGGCCTCTGCTCTCTGAGAGGAGGGGAGGGGGCACACCGGGGCTCCTCACCCCTAAAGGGGCGATCCCTTGGGACTCAATTCACAAGCAGCTCTTTATGCTCTTTTGCTTTCTGGTTTCTCCTGGCATGGATATCCTGGCCCGGCAAGCACTGCACACATCACTGGTGAGTGTGGGGAGGGAGGGCTCCCAGCTACAGCCATCCCCACTACTTCTCCAGGCCAGCGTCCTGACGTGGGGAGGGAGCTGAACCGGCGAGGGGCGCTCCCCTAGGTGGGCAGTGCTGAAACCCCGGAACAGCACCCATATCCGGCCATATAGGAGCCTGAGGCAACCGGGAAAAACCAGTAATGGTGCTACTGTAAAATTACTGTGAAACTTAGATGTTTTTTGTTCATGGGTTTTTCTGCGCTCATTTTCATCTTCTTAAATACTGAATTAAAAAACTCCAACAATACACTACAGTCGAGTGGACTCATTGTGACATTTTAGAACAGAATATTAGAGCACCATTGCGTTGGAATACCGCACCCGAACGTGCTTAGTCTTCCCAGGGCCCTCTTACATTTGGCCCTGGGGACGGCGAGCAGAGGACTGGCAGTTGCGCTCGGCGACGGGGCGCCTTCTCACCCGCTCTCCCGGCTACATCCTAAGGGCCCAACACAGCGCTTGGGGCTGGTACAACGAGCGCCCACGCAGCCTTCCGGGAGTCCCAGTCCTAGAGCCCAGACTGCACGGAGGACTGGACCACAACATCTCGCGCTTCTAGTCTACCTTCTCCATCCCTCCCGCCCGGCCACGCCTCTCCTCGGAGCGTCCCGCCTCACCCCGCCCCTCTTTCCGCCGGTCCGATTTAGCCTCGCCCCGCCCTCACCCCTCCCGCCTTCTCTCTGTGCTCCGCCCTTCCGACTTCGCCTGGACCCCTCCGGGACGGGGCCCACCTCCCCTCATTCACCTTCCGTCTTTCCCCTTTCCTCCATCCCTTCTAACCTAGCTCTATTCTCCTCCCACCGCTTCCCTCCTCCTCTCACCCACCACCGCAACCCGCCCCATCCCCGCCCCTTTTAGACAAGCCCCGCCCCTCGTTTTCTCGGGAGCATCTCGGTGTCTTGCGGCCACGGCGCTCCGGCCTGCGTGTCTGCGGCGCGGTGGGCGGGCTGTCTCCTCGGCTGGCCATTGGCAGAAAACGTCGTCTTCTGTTGTCAATCACGCCAGCGCGGCATGGCCCCGCCTCCGTCGGGGAGCGTCGCGGCACGCAGGGCGTCGCGGGGGCTGCCGGGACAGCTCTAAGATGGCCGAGCGCCTCGGTTCCGCTTTTGGCTGCGGCCCCGAGCTCCATTCATTGCTCGGTTGCTGAGCAGCGTCGCATCCCCGCAAGTCGGGCTCAGGGCTCACGGGGCTGCCCCGGCCGGACGGGAGGCCGCCATGGCCACTCTGGAGAAGCTGATGAAGGCTTTCGAGTCTCTCAAGTCTTTCCAGCAACAGCAGCAGCAGCAGCAGTCCCCACCGCCGCCTCAGCCCCCTCAACCCCCGCCACAGGCGCAGCCGCCGCCGCCGCCGCCCCCACCACCACCTCCCGTTCCGGCCGTAGCCGAGGAGCCGCTGCACCGACCGTGAGTGCCGGGCCCGGGGCGGGACGACCTTACACCCTGCGCGTCCCGAGTAGTGACCTCGCAGATCCCTTCCCGCCGGCAGAGCCCGGTCTGGGGTCTAACTCGAACCGGAGACCCTGTGGGGCCTCGCCTTCCCCTGGGGCCCAGAGTTCGAGAAGGAACTTGCTTCTTTCTACTTGAGAGGCGTTGCTCCTAACGCTGTCACGAGGAGCGACCGCGCCCCGTTTGGTGGCCTCGCGGCCGTCCCCCTGCCCTGTCCCGTTAGCTCCCGAGGGAGGAGGACGGCGGGCGCAGGCACCTCGCAAGGAGCCCGAGTGATGGGGGCGAGCCGATGACATAATGCTCTCTGTTCGTCTGGGCGGGGGCCCGAGGACGCCGGCCAATGGCAGGCGTGCGTTCCCAGCGGCACTTCCCACGGCCCCGAGTCCTCCAGGCGCTGGTGTCGTGGGGTTCAGGGACCCTGGCGGTGGTGGGAAGGTGGCGTTAAGCCTCGCGGCAGAGGTTGGTCTGCAGCTACCCGGGTCCCCCCGACTGCTGACGGGGTGACGGAGTCGGCTGCTTCATGGAAGGACTCAGACTGGTAGCCCACGGCCGCCTGTGGACCCCAGTAAGGCAGCCCGTTGCTCTTGGGTGGTCTGGGACCTCTGCTGCGTGCGTGCGTGCGTGCGTGCGTGCGTGCGTGTGTGTTTGTGTATGTGTGTGTGAAGTCCCACCGTTCATCGCCTGGAACCCGTTGTTGGGGAGTCGGGTTGAATGACGACTCATCCCGAGGAGAGAGCTGAGTGAACTTCACTGTAGGGTTTCCAAAGCAGTTAATGTCGACGAAAACATGGTCACATTGCTCTTCAGTGGGTTCGATCCACCGGCCTTTCCATTAGCGGCAACGCGCTTGAACACTGTGCCACCAGGGTTAATTAACGCAAAAACCCAGTGCCGTTTGGTTGATGCAGACGTACAGCGGCCCTCTAGGACAGAAAACTGTCCCATAGGGCTTCAAGGGTGTCCTTTTCACGGAAGCGCACTGCCGCCACTCTCCGCTTTGTGTGAGCCTCTCAGGCGCAGCCCTGGACTTAACTGCTCTCCGGTCCTTTCCCACTGATGGGGACCCCGCAGGACCAAGTAGAATTCCTCCGTGGAGTTTCCGAGGATGCAGGCTTTATGGGGAGATCACGGTGGCTCTGTGGGGGGTAAACACTGGACTGTGAGCCCCATGGTGGGGGACTTGAACCCACCAGACAGTCTATGAGAAAGATGAGGCTTTCTACCTTCATACACATTTTTACGGCCCTGGAGTCAGAACGACTCTGTGGCGCTTAACAACACCACCAACCACCTCTACAAGAGCAGACAGCTTCATCTCTCTCACAACAAGTGCCTGAGACCTTGCAGTTAGCAGCCCATTGCTTAACCCATGGCGTCACCAGGGCTCCTTAACCGCCTTCTTTTGTAGAGTGTTGTAGAGGCGGTTCTGACTCATAGTAAACTTGCATAGGGTTTTCAAGGCTGTAAGTCTTTGCAGGAGCAGAATGCCTCATCTTTCTCCTGGGAAGCAACTGGTGGGCTCGAACCAGTGACCTTTGGAGTCACACTCCAGTACTTTTCCACAGAGCCACCATGCTCCCAACCACATTACTGTTGTTAGGTGCCATTGAGTTGGTACTGATGCATAGTGACCCTATGCACAACAGAACGAAACGCTGTCTGGTCCCGGGCCAGCCTGAGTCCATTGCGCTGTCACTATGCCAACCCATCTCCTTGGGGGTCCTCCTCGTTTTTCTGCCATCCATGTTACCAAACGTGATGTCCTTATCCAGGGACTTGTCTCTCCTGACAGTATGTCCCAAGTTTGAGAGATGCAGTCTGGCCATCCTGGCTTCTAAGGAGCATTGTGGCTGTACTGCTTCTTACACAGATTGGTGTGTTCTAGCAGTTAATGTTTAATCCCATTACTAGCACCTTCTAATAGGATCTAGGAAGGCACAGCTGGCTTGCACCTAACAACTCTTGGACCCACAAACTTTTCCTTGAAGCCTGTGTGCTGATTATGCAGTGAGTGGGGGTGGGGGGACTGCTGTGTTAAGGAAAAGACTCTCTCTTGGCGCGGTGGTTATGCACTCAGCTGCCCAGTGGAAGCCTGCCCGTGAAGCTCACAGTGTAGGAAGTGCCAGGGGGCAGTTCACCTCTGTCCTATCAGGCCCCCCCCCCCACAGTTGAATTGGATTTCACCACACACAACAGCAACATTGTGGTTCAGGCCTTCCTGTCACCTCCCGAGCTTTATTTGGGGCCTGGGTGTGGACAAGCTCACTTTCGGTAGGGACAGTTTTCAGGAAGCTTCCCCTTAGAGAATCTCACTCTGGTAAGACTGGCTCTTTTATAGTCATTTGTTCTTAAGGTCTTTCCTATGCTTCTTGCGGTGTGTCCTGAGAATCTAATTAGAAAATGAGAATTCAGAAGCTTATGTTGAGAAAGAAATAAAGTTTTCTTCTACAAGGTGAAACACCTATTTGGACACCTGGAGAAGGTCTAACAATAAGATAAGCATGGTCGGCGGCGGTTCAGACTCCCCAGCTGCTCCTCAGAAACCCTATACAGGGTCGCTATGAGTCGGAGCCCACTTGCTGGCCCTTTATAGCTGCGTGTGTAACCGTAATGGGAAGGAAGACCTCAGTGTTGCCCACTGGTGGCTTGTTCAGAAACCTGGCCGTCACCACACGTCCTGACCATTCTGCGTCTTCTGCCTATCTGACAGAACACGAATCAGCTTATCTTTAAAACATGGATGTCACCTCCAAACGCTGGCTTGACAAACTAGATAGATTTTTGTCTCCTTTCTGAGGTAACGGGTGATTGATTTATTTGGAAATTTGAATCTCTTGCCTAAGTGAAGCAACAAGTTGAACATTTACAAAAGAATAATCATTAAAATCCTGCCCTCCCACTCCTTTCTCTTAAGTACCTAATGCCATCCCGTCAGGTAACCACTCTTAAACTTTTGGCTTATCCTTCCAGGTACAATCAGTACAGATATGAAACTATATCTGAATTTCTTTTACAAAACAAGTCTTTTAGAACACAGCCAGTTTTGAAGGCTGTTCATTTGCTCTGAAGCCAACTGTCAGGCGTTTTAGTTACAATTACTTTAAATAAAGTAAATGAAGACCCCGTTTCTGTGTATTTTGCTATTGAGAAGTCATGTGTTCAGTAATATAGTTACTGCTCCTGAGGGTGGATCTTTTTGCATTTCTGGTCAGTGCTCCCCGAAGCATGATGGGCCTCAGGAATTGAGAGTACCTCTTCTCTCTACATGGCAGGCACATCTGCTCAGCAGACAGGAGGCTGGGGGCCCTGGGGGATGGGGAGGGGGCTGGCATTCATGGCAGGGGCAGAGCTAGGGACCCGCATAACTCTCACTTAGCTTTGGCATGGTCCATTCTTCTTGAAAGTTCCAGCTAGTTTCTAGTTATTCATTCGCCGGTAAGTATTTAGTGTAGTGGTTACAAATCGGGCTGCTCACCTCAAGGTCAGCAGTTCGAAACTACCAGCTGTTCCGCGGGAGAAAGATGAGGCTTTCTGCTCCCGTAAAGATTTACAGCCTCGGAAGCCCTGTACAGGGTCACTATGAGTTGGAACCGACTCCATGGCACGTAACAACAACATGCTCTAGTCACTGGTCTAGATGTGGGGCTCTGGCCGTGAACAGACACAGTGCTGCCCTTCATTTGAAGAGGAACACAGACAGGTCACATGATATACAGTGACATATACAGTATGTTCCTTAGTGATGGACACAGGGGGAGTGAAGGGGGGGACCAGGACTGTCAGTGTTAGATTGTGGATCCAGGGAATGCCCACTGAGGGGATAGCTTTTGAATAAAGAGCTGAAGGGAGGCTGCACTTCTCTGACCTAAGATTAAAACAGACAGACGCTTGTTTGGGAATTACTTCTTTTTTGGTTACTTTAAAATATATATATATTTTTAGATTATAACTTTGAGATTATTCACAGCAAAGCCTACCCCACTTCGCCAGTTTCTGCAGACACCGTTCAGTGGCAGCCAGTGCAAGCCCCTCCCCTGCTGTCTGCGCTCTTCCTGCCCCTCAGGTTCCTGCCTTTGCTTACGGTTGCTCTTGTCAGTTTGAGCTCTGTAGGTAGTTGCTTTAAAGAGTCCAGTGCTCAAGGCAGATGTCCTTTACTAGTTCTTTTAAGAAAATTCTGGGAAAATTATTGTGGTTACCTTTATTAACTCGTCAAAAAACCCAACTGTCTAAGTTATATATATATATATATATACACACAAGGTAAAGCAGCCCCACTGACGAGGAAAAACAGCGCCTTCTTCCCGAAGTCTGTATCCAAGCCCTAGTCTCTAGGAGTGTGCCCATTTCCTACATCTTCCTTTCAGGTATTTAAAAATCTATTTTTTGTTGTTGTGAAGTGCCGTTTAGTCGGTTCCGACCCATAGCGACCCTGTATAGGGTTTCCGAGGGGCGGCTGGTGAGCTCAAGCTGTGGACCTTGCAGTTCAGACGGCTTTGCAGTCTGGCGTATTAACCCACTGTGCCACACCAGGACTCCTTAAAAATCTATATGCATACATTAAATATTCGAGTGTCTTTTTTGTTGTTTGCATGACAGGTCACCCCATATCCGAAGGGGCTTCAGAATGTTCATGGAAAGCTCCCATTATCTTTTGATTTCATCTTTCCACGAACCTTTTAAAGCCCCTTTATGCAGTATAAGGGGCCTTGGTGGTGCTGTGGGCTAAGCATCGGGCTGCTAACCACAAGGTCGGTGGTTCAAAGCAGCCTTCAGTTGAGGAGAAAGCCGAGGTTGTCTGCTTCTGTAAAGACCCACAGTGTCGGAAATCCCGAGGGGCAGCTCTGTCCTGTAGAGTTGCTCTGAGAAAGCTGGCTTGGTCCTTGGGTTTTGGTACAGTGTAAATGCGATGTAAAGAGGCACTTGACGCTCCCTCTTAGCCTTGGAGGGGTGGCTCTGAG